TTGCTTCAAATCAGGAGTTTGCTAGCTACACCCGGAATATGAGCAAGGCTGTTGCAGAAAAAAATAAAATAAAAATCCCTGCACTGAAGGAGTACATCCATGGGGTTAATTTGCTAAATTCACAGGCCAATATTTAGGAATGTTTTTGCTCTTGCACACACCCAAAATTCACCAGGGTTTTAGGAAATACGTGAATTTTTTTGGTTAAAAAAACTATTTTTTAAAAAAATTTTTATTAACCTGACCTTCTTCTCTAGGAAAGAGCGACAAGACTCCTCTAAAAACCAGAGAGAACATTAAGGGTGTGTGGAATTGAGAAGGCCAAAGCCAAGCGGTAGTGGGAAGTAATCTCCCAAGTCATCTCATCAGCCACTAGAAAGACAGCACGGAAATACATCGGCTCAGTGCAGGGTCAGTAGCAGCAGTTTGTCCATATTCCTGCTCCTAGCTGAGCCCAAAGTTAAACAAGCACCAGTTCATCTCAGAACAGCCTTATACAAACACACGCACATACATACCCACACCCACACACATGTAGTCACCACCCCCTTTTATTTAAATTTATTATTTTTTACTAAAATAATACAAAAAAGGGAGACAGGTATATTTACAAAAATCCATGGCTGGTACAGTACATAATTTTTAAGACACACTAAATGCTACAATCTTTCAGGTCCTGAGATTATTACAAATATCAACTCAAAACTTGTATTCAGGTCCAGTTTTTAAAGGAGGAAAAAAAATCCCCAAATATTAAGTCACACAACTTATTTGAAATACAGCATATCCCTTCAAGGTAGCAAAGTGGTATGAGCAGATGCAGCAAGAAATTCATGCCTTTCTCTTAGAGGACCATTTGTTCCTCAGGCTCTTTCCTTTGGGACTGTTTCTGCAACATGGTGCCTGTGTGCGACTGCGCAGCAGCTGTCTAACTGGAGAGGAGCTCCTCAGCAGATGGAACATTTACCGTGTAATCAAGGGCTGTCTTTCTTCTATTACCAAACAAAAATCCTTCCCTTATCAAAATTCATACTGTGTGCTTACCCAGGCTAGAAATCAGATTCATGATTACCAATTAGCTATAGCAAATAGACCCGTGGTTCCATAGTAATCTTTACAACCACAAATAAATCTTGCTCATAATTAAAGAGAGAAAACACATTGCTTCGGTACTTTGGTAGACATTAATGTATCAATTGGGGCATGATTTTGTCACCAGCCAGAGATATATTTTTCCCCTTCTTTAAGTCTGACATTGTTTAGCAAGGAAAGAATGCCTCAGATTTAAGGAGTGTTTCCATAGAACAACATGATATTTTTGATATTTTCTAAAATAAGATAAATTTTCAATGACATTAAACAAAGAGACAATGCACAGCCTGGCTCTTCTCTCTGGAGGCTAGCTGCAAGTGAGGAAACTTTTTGAAGGCCAGGAACCTAGCTCTACTGATTGGAGACCTTCTGACTGACTACAGGTGTCAGGAGGTAGATGAAATTCATTATGCAGGCTTAGCCAAGACTTTAGCAAAAAGGTGATCAAAGTTGGCCAACTGTCCAACCACGTAGCACAGTAATACCCCTCTGTCAAGGGAGAATGACTTCTTTTCTTTTATAATCCTACCAGCCTAAACTGGGAGAATTCAGAGGCATTGGAAAGAAACCTCAATTTTCTAACAGAGGCTACACTACCTACCTAAAAACAGTAGAGATAAGCAAAAAAGGGTGTGTTGTAAGGATAGAAAATATAAGATAGCTAAGATTTGCTAGGTTAAGGGCAGGCTGTCACACAGAAAAACATGTTAATTGGCTGGTCTTAGTTTCTGCTGATTCCTAAAATGTGCTTTGAGGATAGCTGGAGTTGTTAACTTCAAAAACAGAAATATTTCCAAGTTATCTTGGGTAATAGTCATCTGTGTTCTAATTAGGTTCTTCATTAGTATTCTATTGTCCAATATCTAAAAACCAGACTTAAGATAAAATAGCACTATGTTAAATGGAAACAGATAAAATATAGTGTTTTCTAAGGAACATAAAATTGGTAGTAGCATTCAAAATTGATCTGTGCTAGGGGAAACATGAAAACAAAAGCAAGGCAGACTATTATGAGGAAGAGCCCCCTAACAGAGGTCTTCATCTCTTATGAACAACTTTGAAATATCAGGAGGAGGACACAAAGTGCACTGCTACCACATTATATAGTAATGAAAAATCATGTTTTTTGGTGGATGGCATCCAGGGCCTCATGCATGCTGGGCAGGTGCTCTAGCTCAAGCTACATTGCTGGCTCACAAAATTTACTTATTTTTTTCTCATACAAAGAAGAAGAGAAGAAAATTCCAGTCACCAGTGAACACCACGGATGACTCCAAGTCTTGGACACAAAGACTCTTCAAAAAGTGTCCTTGACCTGTTTGGGTAACAGTTTGAAGACATGTTCAAATTTTAAATACTAACTATGAATTGCTAATGTGTGGGAAAGGTTGAGAAGTAGAAATATTGTAACAGGAAGAATTAAATAAAGGTCACAAAAAGCAACTTTTCCAGCAAATGGTACTCTGGGACTAATCAAATTATTCAAAGGCATTCTCATGAAACTCCTCAGACAGCCCCACTTGTGACGGGGGCAGGGGTGTAAGCATTCTCCTGCACTGTAGGCTCAGCCTTGGAGTCCAATACAGACAAGGGCAGATGAGCGAAGAGGGAGTGAGAGACAAGGGTAACTTCTCCTCCCAGGCGCTCACCTTGTTGCCGGGGACCTGGTTGGTGACGCAGTTAACAGAAGAGTTCGCTCATATCAATGGGAAGAAGAATGAAGACTGAAGGAAATGAAGGATGGATTCAACATTAATATTCAAAGCTGCTTCTAGAGTCTGACCACATGTTCAGCTCTATAAATCAGAACACTGCGTCACAGAATCTAAAGTCTAAAATTGAACACTGGGACGTTTCACTGTGACATGACACAACATAACTATAGTTCTGCACTTGTCAAAGGACTGATGTAGTTGAATTTTTGAATATAAAGTTCACATTTTAGGACAGATGAACACATAAAATGTCTATTTTATTCTGTTTTCTCTAGAGGAACAAACATATCCAACAAAATCTTTATGTCTTATTTTTTTGGGCAGAAGTCCTAACATTTGTTATTTGAGAAATGGAAAAGGAGGGAAATGTGGAAAACTGTGTGTTTATCTGCATAGCTGGTATTTAGAGGCTATTGACTAAGGCTTTATTTGGAAAAAAGCAACAAAAACCCAGAAAATAATTTTCAAAAATTGCATCACTAGAGAGTAACTGGGCCCTACCAAACTCTGGGATGAACCCAGATGCTTGTCTGCACAGGCCGGGTGGTTTTTATCTCCTAGCTTGCTTGAGCTGGGTAATTGTTCCTCATCCCCTTGCTTTCTCCTTCCTGACCCTGAATATGTGTTACAATTTAAATTCACACACACGTACACACACATCCAGTAATTAGTTCTAGCTATAGTTACAGCACCCATTTCTTCTTGTTTTAAATGAGAAAAGGGAGAAGGAAAAAAAAAAAGAAAAATGAAACAAAACAAAGAAAAAAGTGAGAAAAGGGTAATTCTGTGTATTACTCAGTACACAGGGATGGAAAGTGGGTGAAATGATCTTCATTCCTCATGGGAGTTGGGGAAACAATGCCGCCTTCCACCTTGACCACCTCTACTTGCTAGGGAGTTAATCCCACCTGCTCCTTCCTATTTCCTACAAACTGAGCAGCTGAGGGGCAATTCTGAGGGGCTGGAGAAGTGGAGCGCACAGGGCAGAGTGGCTGGCTGTGTGCAGCAGTTCGCTCTTCAGGACAGAGCTGGGGAACCCTAGAGTTCTTAGAGGACAGCATGCTGTCTGCCCCACACTTAAGAGGCAAGGAGACTCCCATTCATTTTTATAACGTTAAAAGGTTAGCTGTCAATTGCCAACTAATAATATCAAGGGAATTAGACTAAGAAGATGGAAAAGTGAGGCAGATAAAACTTGCAGGATCATTTATCAGTTTCAACAAGTAATCATCTAAACTTTACCTAACTTTAGCTCCACAATCTTGGCAAATATCACATGAACAATACCATGAAAAGCTAAAAAAATCCACTTATAAGTAAGAAACTTAGTATCTCTCCATTCTCACCACATTTTATCGGATACTAACCATTTTATTCCACCACAAATATAGTTATGTTTAAATAATATGTATCTAAATTAGAATTCCAGTGATTTTTTAAAACATAAAAATCATAGGTTTCTCTTTATACCCACAAGGAAAACATTTTTCAGCCTCTGAAGGAAGATGATAATATTAATTTTAATTACATAGGACATTTTAGAAAAAGTCAAAATATTTTTGAAACAGTAAAGTCTCTGATATCCCTGGGAGGTAGGTCAACATTAGTATACCCAACTGTCTCATGGGTAATCTGAGGCACAAAGGTTAAATGATATTCCCCTTAGATATAGTAATTTAGCAATTATTCCATCTGTCTGATAATAGTTTTGCTACCAGGGGCCTCTGTTTCTTACTTTTAGCCACCAGTCTCCTGTTCCAAATCAAACTTTTATTTAAAATGGGGTAATTTTATTTTAAATACATTTGTACTACTTTTGAGGACTGGTTCAATTTAGTTTCCCTTAACAAGTCACATCTATTTGTTTTCAATAAGAAATAGATAAATCATAGATACTGAAATTTACGTTATTTTGCTCAAGGGAGAAATCTAAAGAATTCTAACATCAGATGTAATTATCTGGCAAATAAAAATAAGACTGACGATTTCTCAAGAATGGTATAGATTATATGAATGTTTTCCTCAGTATCTGTAGTCTTTCTGCTTCAGTTTACTTGTGTTTTAACAGATATGCAGTTACATAATTCTTCAAAACATTTTCCAGAAAAAAACATGATATTTTTAACTTTTTTAAAGACAAGGTCTCACTATGTAGTTCAGGCTGGCTTTGAATTCATGGCGATCTTCCTACCTCAGCCTCCCAAGTGCTGTGACTATAGGCATACACCACTATATGCGGCAGATATTTTTTAAGTGTTGACACGGTTGCTAACTTCCTCCAAGATATATTTTGCTACCATGCCATGGTTGCAACTCTAGCCCTCCACGTGTTTAGTCTTCCCTGCCAAAGTGCATCTTGCTCTATCAACTAAACCTGCAAGCTACTCTTGTTATTCCAATGCTTTGTCTTAGACTACTTATGCCAAGTTTGAAGGGTACAGAGCAGTAGGTTACATCCAGGAACAATCAATGAATCCATTAAATTTATTTACTTGTAATAACTGACACACACACATTGGTTAACTTCTACAAATAGATATTATTCAAAGGGGGAAGAGAGTATCTTGTGATAAGATAATCTCTCAATTTTCCTATTTTAATCAACTAAAAGCAATGGAATAAACAAGGCAGATGTTTCCCAAACATCAAAAGGGCAGTGCTCAGAAAGGATGCAATGGTACAGCAGCTACTAGTCTTATATGTATGTATGTAAGTACCTTACACTATACCCATATACACACAAAGGAAAGGAAGCGTATTACAGCATGGTGTTATGCTGGCAAGTCTGAGATTTTTCCTTTTGAAACCCCTGACCTACCAAAGGTACTTAGGGTATCTGAGTACAGTTTCAAAAGAAGGGCAAAAGAAAGAAAAAAAGGCACTTAACAAAGACAAAGGCCTGAATTGAGCATGTTTTAGAGTAATATAAGCATTTACCAGGGCTAAGAAATTATTTACAAAGAATTAAACTTTTCCCTTAAAACTTTATAAAGTAAAATTGCATAACATGTTTGTGATCAGTTATTTATCTACTACTGCACTTCTGCTTAATTTTTACAAAATCAAAAGCCCCCCTCAAAACAAAATTATACATGCAGAATAGAAAGTCAAAGTGCCCCTTTGAGAACACTGGTCAGCAGAAATTAGTGCCGATATATAGGGAAAGTTCTCAAGTTTGGCCTGATTATAGAATTCTTTCATTCTTCTATTTCCAACTTGAAAAACAAAACAAAAACCAAAGAACAAAGCAAACAAATTCAAAACATAAATGATAACAATACAGGGACCAGTGTGCTTTTATGGTACACTCCTAAAATAAAAGTTCTCTAATTCTTTACATGGGTCAAATTATATAACAAAACTCCTAGAAAAAAATGTAAATTAAAGTCAACCAATATGAGCAAAGTTCATTTTTTCAAATGTAGCAGCAAATATGATAGATAACTGGAGTTCTAGAGATGATCCCAAAGAGTTCTCACAATCAATGGCAGTTTAAATAACAGTAGAACTTTCATTTCAGAAAATGTCTTGAATCCAAGTCAAGGTGGAAAAGGGTATGGGAGAGGGCAACCAGAGGAGAAAGACTAGAGCTGCCTGCCCTTTCCATTCCTGGGTAGTAAACAATTTAGATCTGCTTTGGGAAAAAAGAATATCCTGGGTTAAGAATCAGTTCCAGTAAGTTGTTTTCAAACAGGTGTCAAACCCACAGTATTCAAACATGTACCTTCCCTTTACCTTGGTGATCCCATAAATCCTATGACACGAAACAAAGGAATTTGGGCTAACATCATCCATCAAAGGGGTGGTGGGCATGAAAGAATGTACTACACAATCCTCTTGATTTCCTCAAAGTACTGTTTCGGGGTTTTGTGACTATAGATTAATCTCATTTCTTTTCCCAAAACCTTTTCTTCAGGCTGTTTTAAAATCATGATTTCCTACCCTCTAATCTCAGAAGCGTATGAGAAAGAATTATAATTCACTTACAATGGAAATTATTGCTTGCATTTAATTTGGAGGCTCTGAATGAGCTTGACACTTTACTCCCAAACAGTCTCCAACTGAGGTCCAGCACAGCTATCTCTGAGGACGGTTCTGCTGACCATTATTGCTTGTGAATACTGAGGATTAACTTGTATGTACAGTAACAGCTTATATATATATCAGTGAAGGCAATTTCAAAATAAGACAGTTGGAAACAAATAACTTAATCTTCCTGAATCAAGAATCCCTCTGAATGGGATGTAATTAAGTGTGCTGATTACTTTTGCATGTGGATGTTGCTAATGCTCTTTGAAATACACATTGCTCTATAGATATCCTTTCCAATTATAGTTTTAAAAAATAACATAATTTAAGTGCAAAAATACAGTATGAGTCAAGTCTCTGTGTTAAAAAATAACCAATTTATATGTTTGTTTTTAGTAATAAAACTGTAAAGACAGATGACCATAAAGTATGGACACCATTTTTAATGTTATGATCTAGAAAAGAAATAAGTATTTACATGTAGAAACTCTGATTATACTTTATCTATGGAGAAAGACAAGGATTTTGACCCATTTCCTGTTTGTACAACACAAAAGGAGGCTCCTGACTGAGACAGATGTAAATTGATCTGTGAAGGGGCAGGTGGGTGCTGAGGTGGGGGTCTGACTGCAGTCCTGGAGAAGAGAGAGTCTCCATGTTATATTAGCAGAGCCAAAGGCTTTCAAGTATAGTGACTGGTTAGTAAAAGATGACACGGGGAACAGAAATAATAAATCTGTTTTTCCTAGTGATGACAAAAGAGTCAGAGTATCAGGGAACTTCATTTAGCATGATTCAGAATTGATGGGTTTAAGAAATTATAATATGTCTTTGACTTATGGTAGCAATTAATTTATATGAATATGTATGTGTGTAAACACACAAACACAGACAAATACATGTAACACCAGTCAGCAGGAAGGGATTAATATGTACTCTGACCTTGCTCCTGGCAGAAGTAGTAAAACAAAGGCTACCTCCCCAAAGGAAAACTCCTACCACCAGCCCAGGTAGGGTTAGCAAAGGCAAACGCAAGAGGTCTGCTACCCTGGAATAAATCAAGATTTAAGGATGCTTCCCTATGGAAAAGAAAATAAATCTTAATCAAACATACTGAATTCAAGTCAGACCTCTGCAACATCCCAGTATCCATTAATGATTCCTTTGAAATAATAATTTTCCCTTGCAGTAACAAGTTCTTTAAAACTGAAGTTTTTGGGTGGGGGATTTAGCTCAGGGATTCCGGCGCCTCTCACAAGTGCAAGGACCCGAGTTTGATCCCCTGTACCAAAAAAAAAAAAAGGAAGTTTTCAGTTACTTTTTTTTTTTCTTGCTATGAAGCAAGCCAAAGTATCAAAATATAGGCATATAGATCTGTGGATCTGTGGTTATTTATAGTCCTGAAGGCAATTTGGGACTTCTGCTTATAAGAGAAAAAAAGGGTCTGGTTAAAACTCTTATTTGAATAAACAATGGTATAGGGTAACATGTAATGAAACTATGAAAGAAATCTTACTACTAGTCCAATGCTGTTGTTTGGTGGTTAGTCTGTTGTTATTATAAATGGAAAAAAGTTACACATTTAGAGCTTACACAACTGTTGGGTAGTGTGAAAATATTCACAAGTTTAAAACACAAAAGATACCAGAATGATGCTAGGGCAAAATAAAACGAAATATATCCAGACAGAAATATAAATGTTTCCCTTAACTCCCTTTGTTAACTTATTTGCATAAGGAAGCTCTAGTAACTAAGGACCTTATTATCTGCACAGTTATTGACATCAATACTCTCAGTAAATATTGGTAAGCTTTAAAATCCCAAATGCTCCAAACAATTTCACTACATGGATACAGGAAGATAAATTACACTGTAATTGTTATAAAAGACAACCCCTGTATACGATGATTCTAATGTAATTCTTCCTCTTAAAAATACCAACAAAACCCAGAAATTTTATATATATTATTTGGGTGACCACTGAAAAAATATATGTAGTATACACTTCTACCTGTTTCTATTAATAACTAACAATCACCTGAAGTATCAGTAGCTAAAAGAACAGAAAGCAAAGTTATAAAGTAAGGTGAACTGGGGTGAGTTCACAGTTCTTGTTAAGAGGCCTGCCAAGGGGGAAGAGCAGGGAAACAGCAGCCCAGTAACAAAGATTCCTATTTCTCAAGTGAAAAATGCGAACACAGTCACATTTTAAAATCAAGACTAGAAATACAAATTAACCAGTCAATATCAGATGCATAAATCACCTGAAGAAAAGAGTTAAGTACCTGCTTCTAAATGGAAGATGAAAATTGACCCTTTTACAAAAAGGGGACATTATGTTGCCTGTTATCATAACAGGCTCAATTTCATGACTTCTAAAAATCTAGATGATTTAGTAATATATATCACTGTGCTTGAATACATTTCCTGATGCATCTTTAGTCCACTGATTTACATGGGAGTTGCTACATACTGGAAAAGATTCAAGTTTGCTCAGGATGTTTGAGGCTAAGTATTTCTTCGGCTACTAACTGTTATCAGACCTAAGGTTATTCATTTGATTTGTGGCAAATCTTCTATACTGTCCACTTAGTCAGACATGATCTTTACTCCTGACAAACTGGCCTAATTCAAGAGCTACTGCTTTTATTATGTGGTTATGTCTACAAGTGTTCAGATCCAACCCCCAGGATGGATGGTATTTACCCAAATCCTCTCAACTTCCTCCTCCTCCCCAGGGAAAAATCAAATTTGTACTTCTGTGGGTTTGACAGCTGAGTCTCTTTTGAGTCAGTTAACATGGTAACTCTTTCTTTAGGAAAGACCAAAGGTAACTAACTTTGCACAAAAGCATTTCTTCCTCCTGCACCTGGCATTGCTCAAGTAATGTTTTCTTTCCTTTTCCTCCTCACCACAGTGCTTGGGACGAGAATGTAAACATCGACAGAAACAGCAGCCCTGTGACCACGTAAGGACTTTCCCATCAGGTAGATCCCATCAGTCAGCTAAACATTTCGTCTCTGCTCGCTGGGAAGTCATTGAGATTTCCGTGGTAACTTAGTGTCCCCTTTACTTTGGCCTCCATCTAAGAAAAAGAGATGTTAAATTGGTATGATTGGACATGTCAGAAAAATAGATGAGAAAAACAGAGCAAAAAAAAAATGTACGTGGAAGACAGCTCCAGAGATAACCTTTAATATTTGAAATGCTGTGTAGTATTACAAAGGCTGACTACATATAAAGATTCAAAACTCAACAATGATCCCATTATCTCACGTGACTATAGTTCAGTTGGTTTTCAGTCCTAATTCTGTTATCATCTACCTCTCAGCTGAGTGTTTCCACTGCTGAGAGGGTACCAAGGACCCAGAGACACAACTCCCACCTCTGAGGGACCCACCACACCTTTTGATTCTTTTGGGAGACAAGGTCTATTTCATTTTCTTCTAAGTGGAATTCAATTTTTTGGGCTGTGATATAGCAATTATCCATAATTCCCAAATATCAGATAAATGAGTGTAGCACTGGTAGTGAAAAAAATCCAGCTGCATCTTCATTTTGGTTCTGACCGAGTATCAGGGATAGAAGTCTGCTATAGAATAATGGTTTTCATTTTATTCTTTCTTTTGGGTGGTACTGGGGATAGAACTTAGGACCTTGTACTTTCTCAGCAGGCAAGATGCCACTAAGCTAAATCCATAGTCCGCCATTTCTACATTCTGCTGTATCAATGTTAATGGGGAAAGTGTTGATTACTTCATTCATTCATTTATTTATTTATGTAGTGGGGATTGAACTTGGGTCCTTGTGCTTGAGAGGCAGGCACCAAAACACTGAGCTAAATCCCCTGCCCATTATTACTTCATTTAAATTTCAGATTCATCACCTAGAAACACTGGGACAAGAAAGGAAAAGGGAATACTCTGGCAGGCAAGAGTAGGAGCCAGTGATCTAGAGAGTCAAGAGAATACAGGGAAAAATCTCTGAAGGGGAGGGCTCAAGGACGATGAAGCCCCCAGAGAGGGAAGGTTCTACTTCAAGGGAAAAGGACCCAACAGAGATCCACAGGCGAAAGGAACAAATTATTGTAGCACAGTACAGTAAGAAGCTAAAAGCTGAAAGAGGCCATATAAATCACATGGCCCGCTTGGATATCTAAATTTCTCTACAAAACCAAAAGCAAAACAAACAAACCCCCCCGCAAAACCTGAATAAAAGCTGTATCAATGAAATAAGATTATTTCAAAAATTTCATACATATGACACTATTAAAATAACTGGTAAAGGGCCAGGGATTTAGCTCAGTGGCACTGGGCCTGCCTTGCAAGTGCAAGGTCCCGAGTTCAATCCCCAGTACCAAAACAACACAAAAAATCTGGTAAAAAAATTTAAAAGAATAACTTTGGTGACAACATCTAAGGCTTCTTAATTTATAAGATAATATGTATCTACATTTATAGAAAGAAATACTTGATCTGTGTAATACTTTCATCTGGTATAATTAAATTCATAAAATGGTTATGGCCCCTTTTGTTTCTGTTTTTGGTACTAGGGATTGAATTTGGGACCTTGCCCTTGTGAGGCAGGTGTGGTGCCACTGAGCTAAATTCCTGGCCCATGTTTTGTTTTATAGATAGGGTCTCTCTATGTAGTCTAGGTCAGACTTGAATTTGCTATGTAGCCCAAAGTGGCCTTGAATTTATGATACTTTTGCCTCAGTCTCCTGACTGTTGAGATTACAAGTGTAGTTAAGACAGTTGTTTTTTGTTTGTTTGTTTGTTTGTTTGTTTGTTTTTGGTGCCAGGGATCAAACTCGGGACCTTGTGGTCGCAAGGCAGGCGTGGAACCACTGAGCTAAATCCCTGCCCCCACCAACAAAAAAATTTTTTTTTCTTTTGGTACTGCGGATTGAACTCGGAACCTTGGGGTTGGGTGGCAGGCAGCAGAACCACTGAGCTAAATCCCCAACCTCCTTAAAGTATTTTTTAAACAGAAGTTTTAAACTTTATTTGGAAAAGACTGGAAGTCATATTTCTTTTCTTACTATGGCACAGAAGTGCTATCAAGATAATCTACCTAAGAGCTGGAGCCAGGTGTGGAGGCAGCCACCTATAATCCTAGCATTTGGGAGGCTGAAGCAGGAGAGTGAGCTCAAGGCCAGTTTGAACTACATTGTGAGACCCTGGTCTCAAAAACAATCAAGAATCTTGCTCAGTTAGTTCCTTGCCAGAACACCCTTCATATCTCTGCCCATGAGCACCATTGGCTGGACTCACACCACCAGCAGTTATCCACACTCAGGGAGGACACTCCAGTCACAGAACAATTCCTCTTACTAAATTTTTTGTTTGAGTCAGAGTCATGTTATGTAGTTCAGGTTGGGTTTGAACTTACTATGTAGCCTAGGCTGGCTATCTCCTGCCTCTGCCTCTTGAATGCGGGGGTTATAGGTGGGTACCACCATGCCCAGCCCCCTTATTAAATTTTTTTTTTTTTTTTTTTTTTTTTTCAACTCGGGTCCTTGCGCTTGCAAGGCAGGCCACCAAACTGCTGAGCTAAATCCCTGGCCCCCCTCCTATTAATTTTAAGCCTAATCAAGGTCGGGAAAATCAGGATTATTGATGTTTATGCCTACTTTATATGGCCTACTTTGCTCAATTGTGGTGTACACTCATTCAAGGATGAATCTGAGGGAGCTTACTACAGGAGTTTTATCTTTCTTAAACTTTTATCCTTTAAAATATTCACCAATTCTTTGTGGTGAAAACCTTTCTCCTGATTTTTTTTTTTTTTTTTGGTTTTTTGAGACAGGGTCTCACTATGTAGTTGAGACTGACCTGAAACTCACTATGTAGCCCAGGCTGGTGTCGAACTCACAGTGATCCTCCTGCCTCAGCCTCCCAAGTGTTGGGATTACAGGTGTGAGCCACCACGCCCGGCTCTCCTGGCTTCTTTTTTTTTTGGTACGGGGGGGATTGAACTCGGATCCTTGTGCTTGCGAGGCAGGTGGAGGAACCACTGAGCTAAATCCCCGGCCCCTGGCTTGATATGTACAGTATATAACTGTTACTGTACTCATGCTGTGTAACAGTATTCTAGAGTGTCTTGCTTCTAATGACCAAAGGGCTTTCGGAAAACAAATGACAACAGGTGGCCTCCATCTATAGGATGGCTATAGGCCCCCATCTTTGCACCGTGGTCAGTGGTAAACCAGGTCAAAGATCATTTTTAATGCAGTGGCCAAAAAGAATAGTAAGGCACTAGTAAACTTCCAATGTTGAAAGGGCAGCTGAGAAGTTATTTCTCCTCAGAAGACTTGGAAAATAGTCTCCAAAAGAGTGCATAAGCAGTGTATCGAGACCAGCTGTTAAGCAGGAACCTGGAGGCTGCTATGTATGATGCCCACTCTCCAGCACTGATTCCAGTGTAGGCAAGCTGGGCTGTAACCACACAACGCATAATTTGGGTCATGTTAATTTAAGGTACAGCCTTAATGCTAAGGTACAGCCAAGTTTGATGGTGAAGAATAAGAGACTGGTTGGGAGTGTAGCTCAATTAACTGCATGTGCTCGGAGTGTCCAAGGCCCTGGGTTCAGTCCCTAACACTTAAAAACAATGAATACAGGTTTCTTGAGTTTGTATCTGAGAGCAAACCCTAGCATGTTATTTTGGACAAGCTGTTTATCTCACTTGATTGTATTCTGATCTGTGAAATGGGCACCCACCATTATGTCATTCCAGGGCTTACCGTAAGGATTAAATCAGCTCTTCCATGTAAGTTGTCACAAGACCAAACTGTACTTAATAAACTTTCAACACAGGTAAACTATTTAATTCCTGCATATAACTTTTCATTTTTTCTTCAGTTCTCGAGATTGAATTCAGGGCCTTTGCACTATGCTCCATCTCCAGCCCTATAATTTTTTTTTTTTCCTTGAGATAGGGTCTAAGTTGCCCAGTCTGGACTTGAAGTTGTGACACTCTTGCATCTGCCTCCCAGCATTGCTGGAATTACAGGTGTACACCATCATGCACAGCTGTATATAACTTATATGATTCCTCTTCTTAGCCATCACTCTACACAGTACACACCTTCAACAAGACCCTTTCAGGGCCGGGAGTATGGCTCAGCAGCAGTGCGCCCGCCTTGCAAATGGAAGGTCCTGAGTTTGCTCTCCAGTAACAGGGACAAAAAAGAAAAAAAAGGCCCTTTCATATGCAACAAAACACCTCACTGACCAATTTTCTTTTTCTTACAAGCATTTTGCTGCCAATGAGAATTTAATCACAAAAATTTTTTTTCCAACTGCTGTCATTCCATGGTTTTCAGAAAAGTATAATTTATATTCATAAACAATGAAGAGATGAAGGAAGAGGTAGCTTTCTTACCATTAAATGTTTGCTGTAAGTGTGTAGGCAGAGGTGAGTGGGAAAGTGTTGCTGTGTGCGGAGCTCCTGGCTGTAAACCCTTTAGTAAATCTGAAGGGAAAACAGAGTTGTCAGTGATCTTTAAGATGTGAGCCCTCTTGGATCAACTCTAAAATACTTTATCTAATGCCACAAGTCTGACTTCAAAGGCCTTTTAAAACTAGAACACACATATTAACAAATGTCCCATGTTATCAATGCCATTATGTATAAGTAGATAATCTAACAAATTTGACTTTTATAAATTTCATTTAAGATACAAATTGGTATAGATGGTTCATTTGTTCATTTTAAAGTATAAATATGGTCCCAGAGCCCATAATTTAATCGTACATTAGATAAACTGTATTTCTTAAATTCCAAAGCCCCTGTTCTGCCACTAGACAGTGTGTGAGTGAAGAGCGAGACTTACTCTGAGTGAGGCTGTGGTGGAAAGCGGCTGAGGTAGATCCCGAGGTGGTTGTCACTCCAGCTGTGTCCGTTCCGAAGCCAAGTAGCTCCAAGGGAAACTGGAAGGGCATGGTCACTGGAACAAGGCCACCCAGCATCCCAAAAGGAGTCACATTTTGATTTGTTACAGACAAGGGTGATGTCATGAGAGTCAGAGGTGAGGCATTAGCCAATAATGATGCTCCTGCTGTGGACTGTGCAGAAACCAGGGGTCAAAATAGATAGGAAAGAAAGTCTTTTACCTCAGCTGATTTAATTTAATATCCTGGTGGATGCAAGACTGTGTCTTTTTTTTTTTTTTTGTGGTAAGACTGTGTCTTGTACCAGTTCTAACAAACCTTGTGAGACTGAAATTAAGACCAAGGTGAAAATAAATTTTAAAGAGTTCCCCAACATTGGTTTTGAAGATCCAAAATTACATCTGGGAATCTTTCTATGCTCAGCTCTTCTTCTCACAGATCTCTTCTTAACTGTAACATGCAGTCGGCTGTTCTCTTGGCCTAATTCCTAACCTTACAGTTCTACCTCTCCCCTTCTGCTCCAGTCACAGACCTGATTAACTCCATGCCATTTCACCTGGGAGAACACTGAAAATGCTGTCACTTTCCTGTTCTTTCTTGGCCCCATCTCCGCAGGTGCTATTCTGCTGAATGCTCCTTCAGGCCTCTCCCCAGCTTGCATCTTAGCACCAGCAGACGCTCTTCCTCACCCTTGCCCCCACCTCCCCGAGGCTGAGTGACAAACATTTCTTGTACTGATAGCTTGCACTGCACCTTTTGTCACACAGGGACCTCTTACTCTTTTTACAAACACATTCCTATGTGTTTCCTCAATGCCTAGCTACAACCTCATTTATTTGTATTCCTTTTATTATCAAACTCAATGACAGCCTCCATTTTCCACATTACCACGTCTCTACTTAATCCTTGAGAGCTACCTTCTGAAATGACACTCCCTACACTAAAAGGTAAATAAGTGTTTTCATACTCTTCCACCTGGGCCTAGAAGCCCTAGTTTGGAACAAAAAGCACTTCTTAGATCAGAAATACACTAACACTAATGAACTTTCACTGAGAATACTCCTTAAGCTAATTTAAGTCTTTTAACAGTTTTGTATATAACAATTGAGTGATTTTTGCCTGTTTTAACTTTTTTGTGTGTGTTTTGACCTGTAGTCTCACTATGTCATCTAGGCTTGGCCTTGAACTTTTGAGTCTCTTCCTCAACTTTCAGAAGTATCCCCAAGTAGGTGGAATTATAAGTGTGAGCCACCACAGTCAACAAGTTCTCTCCCTCCCCCATTTCTTTCTTTTCCCTCTCTCTGTTGAGACAGTCTATGTAGCACAGGCTGGCCTCAGACTCCCAGTGCTCCCTGCCTTATCCTCCCAAGTACTGGGATTACAGGTGTGTGCCACCATGTCCCACCCAGCAATGTTTTTCTTAAGATTTGATACCACCCAACTTGATATCAAATTTACCATCAGGTTTTTGGTATCAGATATTACTATGAAATTTTCTGTCATTGTGAGTATTCCTTTGTAGTGTTACTTTCCAAATCCATACTTTTCTGGTCAAAAAAACACTGTCTATTCTAGCCAGGTGTTGTGGTGCACACCTATAATTCCAGCACTCGGGAGGATAAAGCAGGGAGTCTGTAGCCAGCCTAAACTACATAGCAAGACCTTGTCTCAAAACAACAGGGCCAGGGATTTAGCCTAGAGGCACTGTGCCTGCCTTGCAAGTGCAAGGTCCTGAGTTTGATCCCTGGTACACAAAAAAACCAAAAATAAATAAATAAATAAATAAATAATCTGTCAAAACGACGACAATGAACAAACAAAAAATTCCAGTTCTAAATGTGGTCAGGAAAACTTATTTGTTTACTTTTTTTTTTTGGTTTTTTTGAGAGAGTCTCACTATGTAGTTGAGACTGGCCTGGAACTCACTATGTAGCCCAGGGTGGTCTCAAACTCACAGAGATCCTCCTGCCTCAGCCTTGAGAGTGCTGGGATTACAGGTATTTGCCACCACACCCAGTCTTTACATTTTTTAAAAAAGTCAACAATAAATACTATATAGGTACTTTGAGTTTTAGTTTGTGTTATTTTTATTTAAAGACCCTGTTAGTCAATAAAAGGACCAATTACTTTCTTAATGCATGAGAAAGACGCCCGATTTCCCTGCACACATGGGCCACACCAAACACACAGCTCCATATCCCCTGGCTTGTGCTGTTCCTGGGCAGAAAGCCAAGGGCATTCTCCAGAACCTTCCGTGCTGGTCCTGCCACTCTCTCTAGTACCCACTCTATCTTCTCTCCTGTCATCACTGGCTTTTCTAACCAACGTTCTGGCCTCACCTTCTCAGCTCTGGGCCCTCACAGAGCAATCTGCCCCACCCCTCACGACTGCTGCCCCGCAGGCAGCAGGCAGGCGCCTCCTTCACATACCTGGCTGGCACCCTACTTTCTACTTCTGGCCGCACGTGGAGGATGTGGAGCATGAGTTAGACAGATTCCTATCTTTTTTAAGCACAACTACCTCTTACACTTAAGTACATTTTATGCTTGGACTTGCCGGCTTTTAAAATTTGTCAGTCTTTGTTCTACTACACCAGCCACAATACAGAGTGGGGCATTTACGAAAAAATTACCAAGTTAAATATAACAATGTTTTGAATAAAGATAGAAAAGGTACTGAATTAGTTTAAAAACTAACAAGAGTTGCTTTTTTAAAAACCATAATTCTATTGTAGTCTTTGGATGATACAGAGTCTCCAAGGCTGTGTGTTAACTGGAAGCCCTCAGGTAAGAACTTTAAATATTGCTAACAAGGGGAAATTTAAAAATTGTCTGGAAGAGTCTAATTGAAGCACTAAATTAGATGGAAAATGTCAATTATGGCAAGTTCTAAAATTAAGTAACGTGAGTATTAGCAATGTAAATAATACCACACTATAAATCAACATTTGGCACCTTCTCCTTGACTTTGTGCTTTCTGCAGCACTGGGACTTAGCCAGGGTCCAACACACACCAGGCAGTGCCCATCTCTGAGCTACATCATTGCTACACTTCTGGGTCTCTACTGCAAGCTGGACACCTCTCAGAAGCAGGAAGTTCCTCAGCTGAAACCTCAGACAGCATAGAGAAGCTGGCAACGTGAAAGAGTTCACGATTTTGCCCCATAATTAAAAATATTTTTCACGATGTCTGTATTTCATTCTTGAGGAAAATATGGAAAGAAACCTTGTTCATTTCAGGGAAAATATGAAGAGAAACTCTGTTCTTCCCATGGACCTAAATGTTTTAAAATCTCATGTTGTTTTCACAATACCTCAGAAATGTTCTGAAACAACTACACTTGCTCCCCTGTTGGAGAGCACACCCATTATCTCCTTGCTGCACACAGAACAAAACTGAAGTTCTCTCAGGTCCTCTCAACAGCTCTGGTCTTTCCCACAGCGCCGCCTCAGGACCTCATGCCAGGCTCTTCCCTCCTCTACTGCTGCTACTCCTTTGTCAGGGGCTGTTTTGTCTTTCTCATCTCCAGGTGGCTGGCTATATTCAATCCTCAGCTGAAAGGGTCCTCCTCAGGAGGCCTTCCCCTTCCTGTCTAGGTATGCAGCAATCACTCTCTATCCTACTTTAGTGTACTTTTTCACAGGTCTTGCCATGGTATTTATAACTTGTATTTATTTTAGTTTCCTATGTAGAAAGCCTGCTCTGTGACAACAGGACTCAAGTACACTGCTCATTCCTAGTTATAGCACCTAGTAGAGAGCCTGGCGCACAGAAATGGCTCAATACATACTTACTTCATAGATTCATGAGTGTGTTTTGGGCCTATAAAGTAGCAAAGACAGGACTGCCAGAGAGTAAGCAGAGAGGCAAGAAAAGAACAGCAAACTGTTGGGTGGAAAGTTACTAAACAGTAACTAAAGCTAGTGACTGGAGCCCAGAAAGATTTTAACTTCTGTCCTTTGTTAAAGGACCTCTCATTTTAATTCTGCAAAGCAGTAAATACAGCTGCAGATGCCTTCTAGACAGGAGGTGAATGAAAGCTCCACAGGCACAGCTGGGAAATCTGCTTTCATCTGGGTGCTACAGGCAGAAGCTAGAGGGCAGAAGTTAGCTGATAAGATGACTTCAAGGAGATGCTGCACTGGTAGGAAAGCAATTTAGGTTCATGAAGAGAAGAAATGATTTTATTCAATTTCTGGTCTTTTCTTTAGTCTAAACAATGAGACAGAAAAGAAAAAATAGCAGATGGAGGCAGGTATACCAGGGTCTTCAGATCCTAAAGCCCCTGGCAGAGGAGGAAAATCAAGAGGGAGTGCTTCTTTAAAACATAGCTCTCGCCATGTAGTTTTCTTGTTGACAAACCAGTTATCTGGTAAGAAAGTAGACGGATTCTTTTGAGATAAATGATGAAACAGACGTCTGTCTTTGGGAAAAGTATAGGACTGACGGTGTCTGGAGATCATGAAGAATGAAGGAAGATATAATCTTAATTTCAAAGAAAATGAAGTTAAAAAAAAAGATAAAAGGCAAATTTTTAACTCCAGGTAAAAACCATAAAAAACTTGTAAGAAAGCAAATAGCAGGCAGGGGATATGGCTCAGTGGTTCCACTACACCAGCTCGATCCCCACTACCACAAAAAACAAAAAACAAAACAAAACAAAAAAACCCTAAAAACCAAAAACCCAAATAGCGCAGCATGGTGGTGCACGCCTATAACCCTAGCACTCAGGAGGCTGAGGTAGGAGGATTGCTTTGAATACGAGGCAAGCTAGATAAATAGTGAGTTCAAGGCTAGTTTGAACTATATAGTGAGACCCTGTCTGGAAAAAAAAAAAAAAGAAAAAGAAAAAAAAGAAAGAAAGCAAATTAAGCCATAGTTACGACATTTAGCTCAATAGGGACTCATGAAGTCACGTATATTTAACTAAAAATTATAACTGCTTTTTCAGGAGTATAAGGTAGATATAAACCATAAGACTTGTTTTTCATAGTGAAAAATACAGAAAAAGAAACGAGAGGATTAGAGAGAGAGAGAGAGAGAGAGAGAGAGAGAGAGAGAATATAGAACTAAAGCTGATAAAATTAGAACTTTTTCTTGGTTGTAAGGGAATAAACCCACGGCCTTCACACCGAGCTATATCCCCACTCCCACCCCTTTTTTGGTACCGGAGATTGAACTCAGGACCTTGTGCTTGCTAAGCAGGCACTGTCACCACTGAGCTAAATCCCCAGCTATCCCCAGAACTTTTAATTTTTTTTTTCCCCAATTTTGAGCTTAAATTGCCTAAAATGAGCTTGAACTTGTGGCCCTCTGGCTTCAGCATCCTAGAGTGTAGGAATTACTGTACAGGTATGTGCCACCATGCCTGGTTCTTTCTTCTTTCTGATGAAAGTAAAATTATGCATGTAAAATATCAGTTAATCCTAGACTTCAATAAATGAAGTATTTGTTCTACACTAGAATCAAGTCATTCCTAAGTCGATGTGAGTGGTAGAATGATAACTGGAATTAAACATGTTGAATACAAACTGCTATACTCCACTCGACAGCAGATACCTCTACCAATGGCAGTGGGAGGACCTTTCCACTACACATTCCTATACTACATAAACAGAAGGCAGCTCTTCCTCAGACAATACAAGTCCATAAGACAACAAATACCATGTTTTCAGGAAATATTTAAGAACCTAATAACTTGTACATCATAAGGTGATATATTTTTAAAAAGCAGTTATAAAACAGAATATTAGGTAAACACACTTTATTGAAAATTCAGTCCAAAAAAATACCTACCAAGTAGAAACAGGATTGGAAGGATAAGCAATTTTTGTTTTCTTTTCACTAAATTTGTCTACAGTTAAAATACATATTACTTCCAGGAAAAAAAAGAAAGGTAAAGAAACCAAATCACTAATGTGAAGGACAAATCTGAGTATGTCTCAAAATACAAACAAGGCAGAAAGATGAGAACAGTAAGAGAAGATGATAAAGAGGACAAAATGATAAAATACATGAATAACAAAGAATTCTCAAAAACCTAGGATAAACCAGGCATGGCTGTACACACCTGTAATCCCAGCACACAGGTGGCCTGCACGACATAATTGATTCAAGGCTACCCTGAACTACAGAGCAAGACCCTGTCCCCCCAAATTAAAAATAAAGCAAAACAAAAAAGAAAACTAGAAAATATGTTCTCAGAAATAATATTCACATCTATAATAGAAGGAAATATTCTTAAGCTGTTATATTGCCAGGTCTGAGGCATTATAATGTTCTAGGTATAAAATTAACAAAAATTAGATCTAGCTATCGTCTATGGACAATTAATTTTCAAAGAAAAAAGAAAGAGCTTACTAGCACTTAGGTAGAAAAGTCACATTACCCATAAAAGGGAACAAAAAATCAATATGGCCCCAGACTTTTCAAAATACCAAGCAAGAATCAGTGGAGCAATATTTACAGAATTCTCACCAGTACCATTAGTTACTGAGAAATCTACATATATATACTCAAGTGGCAGCACAGAAAGGCTCACATATGTGAACACTAAGGTAACAGAACATTCATATTACCCTTTTTACAAAGATTCTTTACAGGGGAACTCTAATACAGAGGAAGGTTTAAATTACAAATCTGTGAGTGGGGAAACTGTGGTGTAAAATGACTCCTGAAATTATTTGACATAGATAATTATATATGAATAACTACAAAATTAATGCAAAACAAAAACTTTATTTGAGAAGATAAGAAAAATAACACGAATATATGAATTTGAGTAAATATAAAATAAGAATGGAGGTAGGAGAAAAGGGAGGAAACAAGGGAATGTATGCTAGACTTTTACTACTTTGGTAAGCAATAGAGTTCAAAATATGAACTTTAGCTGCATTTTTCAAAAACGTTAAGGTAAATGTGATTAAAAAAGACCCCATGGCCCCTCAAGAAAATCCTATTCACAGGTGTGCCTATCACTGTGATGCTACATCAGGAACACTCCATGGCCATGGCTGGACCAGCCTGTTAAAAAATGTACACCTTCCAAACACAGTAAGCTTGTTAGTGACTCACAGGAAAGATCGAACCACATTACATCCTAGCACACAACGTCTACAACATACATACCTGCACACTGGCTGTTACCACTGAAGACCCTGAGGCAGAGGATGGTCTATGTGGAGTAGACAACGGTTTAGTAGCACCCTGTGTTCCACTTCCTGTTCCCCCAGATAGACTAGTCCTATTAGCTCCGCTTGAGTTAAGGTTGCTACCTCGGCTGGCAGGTACGTTCATTGCAGTTCCACTCAAGCTGTTCTTCCCAACAGTTCCAGTGGATGATGAATTTGTTAGCTTTGAAGAAGCCTGAAGATTTTTTGTAGATGGAAGGCCTGAAGTGCGATTAGAGGGCAACAAATTCAAGGTGGGAGACTGTCTGCTGATGTTGATTCCACTGGGCTGTTTATGGACTGGGTTGTTACTGGTGGAATGGCTACTCTGGGCTACTAGTGCATTTGGACCAGAGGAACTTGGGGACACAGTAGGCTTGGGAGCTGGAGTGGACTTAGAGATAAGTTTAGTTGATACTGAAGGCTTTGCTGACAGAGAGGGCTTGGGTGAGGCAGAAGGCTTAGGCAAGGGCAAGGGTTTGGGAGATGTGGCAGGTTTGGGAGACGCGGCCAGTTTTGGAGATGCAGCCATTGAGAAAGGAGATTTAAAACCCTGCGTGGTTAGTTGTGACACCATAGCCTTGGCTAAGTAATTAGTGGAGGTAGTGGTGTTTGGTGCTGTCCTAGAAACCAGGGAGTGGGAGCCTTGAGAACCATTTCCAGGTGAAGGGGTGGACAAGGGAAGGCGGTACATCAGTGGTTTCTCGGAAGTCTTAATTAGTGAAGATGAACAGGAAAGCTGGGGATTGTTACTTAACTTCACCACTGGGTTGGTCTGTGATTTACTAATGGTGGCTTGTAATGGAGACACATAGTTCTGCTGGACAGCTGAATGCTGGTGCACCTTTGTTACTTGTGTTAACGAAGAAGCATCCTGGGCCTCTGATGTTCCCAGAGTATGAGAGGAGGCAGCAACTTGGGCTTGGGAAGAAGAGGAGATATGAGTCTGTGAGGAGGAAGAAGCATGAATCTGGCTTGATCTCTGGAGACCTTGCTGAAGTAGCCTGGCTGGCAAAGGTTCTAAGGAGACTTTAGGGTTCTGAATAGAAGAACCAGCAATAAGGCCTGAAGAGATACCAGTATGAGCTAAATCCTGGGGTTTCTTTGGTACTGGCCCTGTGTGACCAGCGATAAGACTTGATGAGTGTGCAGCCTGAGTAGAATCAAGCTTTTTGGGAGTAGCCAGTGGTAGCTTGCTCATGATACTTGCTAACTTTTCTTCTCTCAGTCCTGGCCGAGGTTTTGTAGTTGGCACACTTATCCTTGAGCCAACAGCTGGGCCCTTGTTCCCATTGTTGATGACAGCTAAAGCTTCAGAAACAAGATCCAGTGAAGGGGAATGGAAAGCAAGGTCCTCATCCAGGGAGTCGTCAAGGCAGATGGTTTCCTGGGCTGGGGTCGAGCTGGAGCTGGCAGAGGCGATGACAGATGTGCAGGAGCTCATGGAAGGACCACTGGCTGAAGCCACCAATGATGTAGGAGCTTTCTGGTCTTTTTTTGGACTACACTCCTAGCATAAGCAACATCATGTTGGAGAAGAATATAAACAGTTAATAAAAGAATACAAAGTCATTTTTTAAAGGACTAAGAAATTCTCATGATAATTAGGAATTTTTTCTACCTGAAATTCTGACTTCTGAAACCAAAACAATTTTTTAGAGGACAGAGCATCGAGCTGAGCTGTCTTCATAAAGCAAAGTACCTGACATACTGAACTGCCATCACCTAGGAAGCCATTCTAAGACAAGAGCTGACAACAGGTTGAAGGCACACTCATGAGCCAGTGACATCGCTGATGAACTGCACCTCTGTGGCCCACCCCATTAGTTCCTCAGTTCTCTCCAAATCCACCTCCTGAGGCTTTTCTGTCTTTTATTGTCTTACTGGGGACTGAACTCAGGTCCTCCTGCACACTAGGCAAGGGTCTGTATCCCCTCCCCTTTTTTGAGACAGGGTCTGGCTATGCTGTTTATTTAGGCTGTCCTTGAATTTACTATGTAACCCAGGCTGGCCTTGAATTCGCAGGATCCTCCTACCTCAGCTTCTGAGTTCTGGGATTACAGGCATGTGCTACCGTGTCCGGCAGCCCCCTTTTATTTTGAGACAAGGTCTCGCTTAATTGCTAGAGATGGCCTCCAAGTTACAATCTTTCTGCTTCAGCTTCCCAAGTAGCTGGAATTATAGACATATATAACTGCTTCAGAATCTTTTTATTCCCTTGGACCTCAAGAGAAACTCTGCCTTGATATTAGAACTCTGGCCTTCTGGTTTGGTGAGGTTGGTAGGGATGCTGACCCTCGCTCTCTGCCTCTTTGCACTGCTGTCTCTCAATATCCTGACCTGAAGCAACCCACAGATAGCACCCCAGGCAACCAGTGCACTCAACTGGTAGATGCATATTTAAATCTTATTTTCTGCCGGGCGTTGTGGCACACACCTATAATCCCAACACTCAGGAAGCTGAGGCAGGAGGGTCACTGTGAGTTTGAGACCAACCTGGGCTACATAGTGAGTTTCAGGTCAGTCTCAACTACATAGAGAGACCCTGTCTCAAAAAACATAAATAAATAAATAAAATAAAATAAATAAAACTTACTTTCTACTAATTATGGTGGAAGCCATTTGTAATTTATTCAACATGTATTTATTAAATGTCCACTGTGAGGAAAACCTTGTTAAGAAGAGTATTAGTAATTAAAACTGAATACCTAAGAGTATATTGTTCTTTTCCCCCAAAATATCAGCGATAAGGCCATTATAGTTTAAAATATGCAAAAAGCAAAAGAAACAAATTAAAAAGCAATTGTTTAAGAGAAATATAAACATATATTTGGTTAATTTCATTTTTAAGAATATTAAGAAAAAATCATGAATAAGTCATTTCAAAATCTTTTCAAGTGGTTCCCTAAAAACAACTTAAGCCCATAGTCTTATACAATATACTCATTTCCTCAACCACAGCACTTACCTTAAACATGGTGGGAAAAGAATGGAGAGGAAGGGTCTTTATCGTCACCTCCTAAGGTATTACAGTAAGTAAGCTGTTAAGAATGCAGGTATACTCTAACTCCTTAGCATTATTTTCTACACTTTTCTTTTAAGACAACCTCCCCGCCCCACTAAAAACTTCACTGCCTATCAGAAGTATGGGGTATAATTGTACTGAGGTCACAATTGTCTGCTGAGAGGACCAAGTAAAGCAGAAGAGATATGTTTGCTTTGACATACTACCCAGTTAAAGGATTAATGCAAATTCCATCAACATAAAGAATATGGAATTAAAAAAAAAAAAAGAATATAGAATTGAGGCAGGGGAATGTTTCACAATAATATCAGAGATATAACCAGTATAAAATTGCTATTTTAATTAACAAAAATAATTGTATTAATATATATGTGTGTATGTATGCATATTATGTATATATGTACATGTATGTGTGTGTGTGTGTGTGTGTGTGTGTGTACTGGGGATTGAACTCAGGTCCTTGCACTTTTGAGGCAGGTAGCAGAACCACTGAGCTAAATCTCCAGTCCAATAAATTTTTTCTTTATAAAACAACATTTAACCCACCCCCCTATAATACTGTGTGGACTTATACTGGCAGAAAAAAAAAAACTGTTGAGGATAAATAATTGAGTCAGAAAGGTTATTCCCCTCATATAGTCTGTTAATCCAATAAATGAAGGATTGGTTAGATGGATGAGAAGGAGAGGACAGAGATCCAGAAGAAGGGAAAAGAGATGTGTACCAACAAGTTAAGAGCTTTCTTCCTCTAAAGAGAAATTTCCTACATAGTTTTGCTTTTGCTTCTCCTTTTCTGTATTATTTGCAGTTCCTTAGATTACTTTTATAACTGAAAAGAGCACAAAGGGGTTGGGAGTTGAGCTTGGTGGCACAGAATGTGCCTAGCATGCCCAATGCTAGGATCCACTGCTAGCAAAGCAAAAAAAGAAAATACAGTAGGAAAAATCCAAGCCAGTAATACACTCTTTTTACTCTGGGAAAAGGAAAGGGTGATTAAAGAGAAGCAGCAAACAAAAAAAACCTGATTATTACCCCATATTACCTACTCCATCCATTATTAGAACTCTAATAAATTTCCTACCCAATTATTCTATAATATGTTTCCATAGACGTATCAAAAACAATCATTTGCAGAGAACACTATATTTATTATCACTATTATTATTTTTATTTTTGGTAGTATCAGGGATTGAACTCAGGACCTTGCATTTGAGAGGCACGCACTGTGCTACTGAGCTACATCCCTGCCCCAAGTTTATTATTCTGATAGAAGTGAGGTCAAAGGTCTAGGCATGTTGTTCAGTGGTAGGATACTTGCTTAGCATGTATGAGGCCCTGACTTTATCCCCTGTATCACCAATGAATAAATGTCAAAACAGAGCCCTAACAAGAAACTTAATGAAAGAAGGGGTAAATATTATTTGGATTGGGAGGCAAAGTAGCTAACTTGTATTATGTATTAAAATCAACAACTTTTGGTGTTCCAGCACAAGTTGAAAAGACCATGAAGTAACCTTGCCATCACCTTAAAAGAAAAGAAATTCCATCTATCTGAAGAGAAGGATACAGAGAAAACTCTGGAAGCTTAAGGCTTTCATTAAAATTAAACTTCAAATGACTATGTATACTTTTTTATTCTACAGGTTAAATCTGCTTCTTTTCAAATCAACTTTGTCCACTTTGGTGGCACATGCCTGTAATCCCAGCACTCAGGAGGCTGAGGTAGGAGGAGGATCGCTGTGAGTTTGAGACCAACCTGGGCTACATAGTGAGTTCCAGGTCAGTCTCAACTACATAGTGAGACCCTGTTTCAAACCCCAACCCCCCAAAAAAATCTTTTCCGTTGAAATAAAATTAGTTTACATTTTAAATCCAATAAACACACAACTTCCTCTTCTGTTAGGCATTATATTGTTTGTTGTTTACACTGAATCTCATCGTGGTAACACATTCCCTTATTTTATTTATTTACGTTTTTGTACCGGGGATCGAACTCAGGTCCTTGTGCTTGCAGGGCAGGCAGGGGAACCACTGAGATAAATCCCCAGTCCTCCCTTATTTTATTTAATTTTTGTGGTACCAGGGATCAAACTTAGGACCTTGTGCTTGCAAGGCAGGCGTAATGCCACTAAGCCAAATCCCTCGCCTATGTGTTCTATATTTTAGACTGTTAAACTCATGCATTTTTTGGTTTTGTTTTGTTTTCTGGTGGGCTGGAGATTGAATCCATGGCTTTAAGCATGCCAAGCATATGCTCACCCCTAAATTCCACCTCTAACTCCTGTGGCCTGCTCTGTAAGTGCTAGGATATAAATACAGTATATCAGAGAGAACTTGTTTTTCCACTTGCCCTAGGTAATTATCCTAATAATTTTAAGTTACTTCATCAACTTGTGCAGGTAATTAAAACTAAACTCCTAAACCAGGGAAATTTTTTAGGGAAGACTTTCTTCTCCCAATCTAGAAATGAGGCCAAAACAGAGAATATTTTAATTTCTTTACAAGTGGGTATATATATTTTTTTCTAGTCCTTTCTTTTACTAAAGATGCTATACTTTGAGGGTTCAGCATTATGCAAGTTTTATTCCAATTTCTGTCAGTACAAGCCCAAGAAAACCCTATCTGCTACAGTACACCCTAAGAAATGTAAAGAGAGACTACAAGGGTGAGGGATAGGAGTTCCAAGGGTAACCAAGGTTTCAAGAGTAGATTATCAACAGGCACCTTCTTCTTCACTTTGGCTGTGGACGTTCTCATATATATATGCAACCTAAGCTGCTTTTGAATGACATTTGTGATATTCTATCCAGTATTATCTAAATAGAATTAAGTTGAGCTTTACAAGTTAATTAATGCCTGCAAATTCTCATTGCTGCAGCCAACTAGTCTCTCAAATACAAAGGTTCTAGGACTTTTACAAAGTTGTTTGAAAACAACCAACTTAGTACCTACAGATCTTTGCTAAATATCAAACATACTTTTTGTTTTAAGGATATATTTCAACATTCACCAAAAATGATAAAAGATTTTTTGTGCACTCACCTTTACTTTGGGTTTGGGTGCAGGAATAACCTTTTTCTTTGCCCTAAGATAAAGGATTGAAACAAAAACCATTACAGTCACAGGTACATCACTCACTGAGAAATTATAACATACAACCTTAGGATTATGTGGGTAAATAACTCCTTTTACTTTTTGAAAAGTCTTTTGAAGGAAGGAACTATATGTAAGTATAGTATTGAGTTTATATGGAACTACTCAGCAGCATTTGTTTCAATATAGATTAACCTGAAGAAAATATCAAACAATTTACAAAATATGAAACATAGATGACAGAGATTTTAAAAATGCAAATCAATAAAATATAAAAACTCAAAACGGCCTAACAAAGCTGCCTAAGGAAACTCACTTCAAAGAACTGTAAGACTTTACAATTATTTTTACAAAAATAGCTTCAAGAACATGAAGCTCAAATTAAATCATTACAAGAGTTGTGAATAATATTTTGCTTAAAAAAACAAAATGAGGGCGGGGGTTTGGCTCAGTGGTTCTGCTGCCTCCCTCGCAAGCGCAAGGGCTTGAGAGTTTGATCCCAGGTACAAAAACAAAAACAAAAACAAAAAACCCCAACAATAACAAAATGAAAAACTTAATTTGTTATAGAAAATTATTTTTTTAATTTTTATTTTTTCTATCAAGTTTATTGGTACATTTCAGGTAAACAATACAGTTACATTAACTATTGGGATCTTGTATCTTTACATGATGTATCTTAATTAGAAAATTATTTTTAAAATGCCATTTAGGAGGCTGAGGCAGGAGGATTACAAATTTTGAGGCTAGCGTGGGCAAATTACTATGACGCTCGGCCGGGGATTTAGCTCAGTGGTGCCATGCCTGCCTGGATGAAAAGTTATCTATTAGATTAACTAAGTATCTTGATTAAAATTGTCAACATAAAACTTCATAACAGCAATTACTGCCACCCCCTCCCTGGATGCCCGGGAAGGGGCAGAGGAGTCCTGCCCACTGGGTTCAAACTCCAAATCCTAACTTGTTCTGCACCTGGGTTCTCCACCTCCTAGTGAGGTAACAGCCCAACAACCAATAGCCCAGGTGATAATTTCACTCCGGGACTAAAACGGTTCCCTACTGCAGAGACTGGGTAAGAGATAGCCATGGGAGACAAGCATGGAAAAGGTGGGGACTACACACATATCTCCTGAGAAACTCCAGCTCAGGCAAGGAAGATGAAGGGAATGCAATCTGTGGTGAAGACCAGGTTGTGGCCTTCAGAGAGGGCATTGAGTTCAGTGGTCTGCTGGAGCTCCCACACTGCTACTTAAATCTAGGACAGGCCAGTGGTTGGATTTATTGTAGGTCAGTATCTGAGTTGCCCAAGTGTCTATACAAAAACATCTTTCCTTGCTTTTTTAGTTAAGGAAGGGTGGTTCATGAGAGGTTTTATCCAGTTTTTATTTGCTGCAGACGTTACCAGGTAGTCAAGGTGACACAGCTTTTGTGGTCAGTTGGTTTTCTCTGTATGCCGATATTTGGATTGCCTGGGAGACATAAACAATACAGTGGGCTATTCCCAAAGAACTGGGTATGGGGCAAATAGCAGAAAACCTCCCTCCAAAAAAAAGGGAAGGTAGCTAGATCCTGGGTCACAAGCAAAGACCAATAGTTATCCATGACCAGAGGATATCTCTGCAAAAAAGCTATCCACTATAATCAAACTGCAATCCACGGTATAGAAAACAAACCAAAAATAGAAATGTGAGAAAATGTGACAAAATGACTCCCCAAACTCCCAATTCCCCTAAAGCCAATCAAAATCTACCCAGCAGAAACAACAGTGGAGGTAACAAAACAGATCAATAAGATGCTTAGCAAATTCAAAGAAGATATAACTAAGTGTTCCCAATGAAACAAATGATCTGGAGAAGACACTAATAAAATCTAGTGGAGCTAAAGAAAGTGATGTAATGGGTTGGGGATTTAGCACAGTGGTTCCAGCACCTGCCTCGCAAGTGCAAGGACCCAAGTTCGATCCCTGGTACTACCCGCCCAAAAAGAAAGAGATGTAAAACATAATGCTCAGCAGAGAAAATAATGGGAGTCCATAAAAATATTAGAAGATTAAAAGTATAATTGAATGGGCTGGGGATTTAGCTTAGTGGTGTCACCACCTGCCTCGCAAGCACAAGGTCCTGAGTTCAATTCCCGGTACCCACCCCTCGAAAAAAGAAAAAATCCAATTGAATGTATGGACAACAGAAGTGGCCAGTGTGAGGACAGAGTGTCAGATCTAGAAGACAGAGCTGTGGTTAGTGATCAGTTGATGAAAGATACCTAAAAACAACAAGAGAACAAGAAAAATTGATCCAACAGCTTTTAGATGACACAAAGAAGACTAATCTAAGAGTGACTGGAATTGGTGAAAAAGCAGAAGACAGCACAAAGGGCACATAAAACCTGTTTACAGGGCAGAGGATATAGCTCAGTGGTACTGAACCTGCCTGACAAGAGCAAGGTCCTGAGTTCGAGCCCTAATACAAAAACAAACAAACAAACAAACAACCTATTTATAGACGCAGTAGCAGAAAACTTTCCAGTCATAGGAAAAGATTTTAGCATGCAGCTAAGTGAGCAGATAGGATCCCAAATAGTCATGATTAGAAAACCAACCAACCAACCAATCAATCAAGCACTACATACCACATCAAATTAAAATACCGGAAATCCAACAAAAGAACAAAATTTTAAAAGGTTAAGTTAGATAAAAGTAAAAGTAATAATTTATGTATAAAGGAAAACTGATGAGAATTGCAGCAGACTTTTCCATACAAACTTGAAAGGCAAGGAGAGTTTGAAAATGACTTATCTCAAGTCCCTCAAGACAACTTCCATCTGACTGATACATCCTACAAAAGTATCTTTCCAAATTGATGAAGAAATAAGACAGTTCCATGATAAAGAACACCTGAAGAAGTTCATATCCACCAAACTAACACTCTGAAAAATTCTCCAGGATATCCCAGGAAGAGATGATGATGGCTAACAATGCTACAGGTCCAATAGAATGAATGGTAGGGTAAACAAGTATGAACAAGAGAAAGAAAGGAAAAGAGCAACAGGAAAATAATACAATAATAGGAGTAAGTCAGTACCTATTAATAATGTGAATGGTCTCAATTCACCAATCAAAAGACACAGATTAGCAGAATGGACCAAGAGACAAAATCCAATGGCTGTATGTAAGAAACATAATTAGCCCAAAAAGAAACTCGTAAGACTAAAAATCAAAGGATGGAAAATGATATTCCATGAAGTAACAGCCCCAAAACAAGCAATTTTCAGACAAAGTACCCTTTAAGCCAAGAGGCAAAGGTCACTATACATACATTAAATAATTATTCAACAGTAAGAGACAAACATATATGAACCAAACTGCAGTGGACATAAAAGATAAAAATCAATACAATTATAGCAGGGGGCCTCAATCTCCCACTATCACAAATAGACAGATGAGCTAAAAAAAAAAATCAACAAAGAAATATCAGAACTGCACCAAGCCTTTGAACAAATGAACCTAACAGATATGTACAGAGAGTTCCACCCAACACAAGGATACACCTTTTTTTGGCAGTACATAGTACTTCCTCCGAAACAGACCACAAACTACTAATATAGCATGCTTAAGCAAATGGAAAAAAAAAATCCAAGTTTTATCATGTATATTATTAGATCATGGTGCAATGAAACTAGAAATCAATAACAAAAGAAACCACAAAATGATACAAACATATGGAGAGTAAACAACATATTCTTGAATAATTAATGGGCCACAGAAGAAACTGAATAAGACAGTTCTTAGATTTAAATGATAATGCCAGTACAACATAGCACAACTTATGGAACACAATGAAAGCAGTCCCAAGAAGGAAGTTTATATATCAGAAAAACAGAATGAAGGGAGTGAAGGGAGGGCAAGGACAAGGGGAAAAAATGAGAACCAAGACCAGTCATGTAAAGGTACAAGATCCCAATAATGAATGTAACTGTACTGCATACCTAAAATGTACCGATAAACTCAATAAAAAGAAAAAAGAAAAACAGAATGAGTTCAAATAGAAAACGTAATGATACATCTTAGAAAAACAATGTAAATCCAGAGCTTGTATAAGAAACAGAATTACAGCAAAAGTTCCCGAGTTTGATTCCCAGTACCAAAAACAAAGAAATGGAGAGCAGAAATCAATAAAATGGAGACTAGACAAGACCAGTTGTAAAGGTACAAGATCCCAATAATGAATGTAACTGTACTGCATACCTAAAATGTACCGATAAACTCAATAAAAAGAAAAAAGAAAAACAGAATGAGTTCAAATAGAAAACGTAATGATACATCTTAGAAAAACAATGTAAATCCAGAGCTTGTATAAGAAACAGAATTACAGCAAAAGTTCCCGAGTTTGATTCCCAGTACCAAAAACAAAGAAATGGAGAGCAGAAATCAATAAAATGGAGACTAGAAAAAAAAATACCAAAAATCAATGAATTGAAGAGCTGGTTCTTTGAAAGAATAAACAAAATAGAAATGCCCTTAGCTAATTTTACTAAATGAAAGAAAAGCCACAAAACAGTGCTATTAGAAATGGAAAAGGAGCCAGGGATGTAGCTCAGTGACACCATGCCTACCTGGCAAGCATAAGGTCCTGAGTTTGATTCCTGGTACCAGAAAAAACCAACAACAACAAAAAGAAATGAAAAAGGTGAAATCACAATTGACACTGCCAAAATCCACAAGATTATTAGCAAATATTTCATAGACCTCTATGCCAGAGTTGGAGAACTCAGAAGAAATGGAGATACTAGATATGTATGAATTATGACAACTAAACCAAGATGACTTCAAAATCTTGAATAATCCAGTAACAGGCAATAAAACTAAAGAAGTAAAATAAAAAACAAAAACAAACTACCAACTAAGAAAATCCCAGGACTTGATGGATTCACTGATGAATTCTATAAAAAATTCAGAGAAGAGATAACACCAATAGTCCTTGAGAGGGAAGGAAT